ACTCGCCTGTTGCAGGCAGCCCAACACAAAATACTTTCTCTCCTTGCAAGGTGTGCCTTCCTTAACATCCATAGTCATTCTTTTACAACCTGACTGCCTTACAGATAAGCTCTTTAACAGCTACATTTTCACTGGGTTAATCCATAGAAGGCAACAGAAGCCTACTCAAGAGAATTAAAACAATGCAATGGAAGACTCACGATACATTTTGATCCTGGATTCTCTCTACTTAACCACTAAAAAAGAAAAAAGTATGACAACTTCGTACTTCTACATACAATATCAATGGCTCCAACGGGCCTTCTTACAGTTCCTAAGCTGCATTCAAGTCCACATTCATTCAAGTGTGTGTCTCACAGGCTTGTGTTCTCAAAGCAGACCATGGCCTCATATGACTCCTTCAAAACTTGCAACCTGTAAGAAATGCACTGAATGCCAAATCCCTTCTACCTGTGTGCTGGGCTTTGCACTCCAAGGCACTGGTGGAAGAGCATCGCTCAGCGACACATGAAGAAATAACAGAAGAGAAGAGAAAAGCAGAATGAAAGAGATGGTCAGTGATATGGAGGAACTTCAGGAGCTTGCAACAACTCGACCCACTACTTCACCTCATCTGCATCAGAGCTTTGAAAGGAGCACCCTGCACTGACACCATGTTCAATACATATCTGTGCAAAAAAGTTGAGTCAACTTCACTCAAACTTCTGTGCTTATTATTCAAACAAGAATTAAACTGCTCAGAAAGAGATTTGATTACTTTGAACAAAATGACTGAATTAACAGCTAGGTTAACACATACAAAAGATCTGAGACAGGGATTCATGCAGAGTCAGATTTGAAGCTCAGAAATGTCCACCATTTGCCTGAAGTTCTACAAGAAGAATCTTGCTTTGACTGAATTTGAAAGGAGATGGATGCAGAAAAGTAGGCAACTAATTACATAGTGTCACATATTTTTTTCTGAGGTCTAATGACTAAAGACAGACATTTAAAATATGTTCTACTTCCAAGCATGTTCGCAGACATGGAACTTAGTACCTTTCAAGGTACCTCACCACAACAGTCTTCACATGATTACAACTCACTTGTGCCATTGCATTAATACCGAAATGGCTGTCGTGCTTCCCGAAATAGCCCAACTAGACAGGCATACTTGTGGGGGGTGGAGGATAACAAAAAAATCTCAGTGCAGAACACTACAAACAAAACAAACCTCCAAGCCCAAACTGCTTCTTAAAATACACTATTGTGCAGAGTTTTCATAGACTAAAGAATGTTATCTCATTCCATTACAGAGAAAAGATTACTTGGCTGTATATGGTTTATACAGACCAGAGGAAGGCATACAAACAAAATCACATTAATCTTTGTTCGTGGTAAGCTCTGCCATGCAAAAAAAAGTCTTTTTCATAAAAAAATATCTTGGTCCCATATACAAGAGGAAACCATCTCACAAGCAGATACAGAGCACTTGCCAGATCTCCTCAGGAGAGAAGTCATTAGTAGTTAAGAGATGCAGTCATCAACTTCTCAAGGCGGCGCCCAACAAAAAGGGATCTAATTATCCCTAATATTTGGCTAGGAATTTAATTTGTATCTGCCAAGAAAGGGAGAATAATGGAATCTGCAAACAATAGGAGAGTTTGGGAAAACATTTCTTCCTGCTGCCAAAAAAATTAAAAACACTCAGTAATGAAGATATGAATCTCTTTCCATCCATGGTCCACAGTAAAAGACACATGAATCTAAAGAATGTTATCTTTAGAACTTTCCCCTGCTTCTCCCCCTTGCCTTCCACATGCAATTTATCAGTTTTCATTGCATTTCAGACTGTCACTTAGCCATGATAGCCTCCAGATTTTTCTTTGTAATATTCAGAAATTATGCATTAGAATATAAACCACTAAAACATTCTTTACTGATGAATCTAAGACAGCGTCAATCACAATGCTAGAAGTAATAAAGACAAATTGGATACAAAATTTTGGAAGGATGCTATCAATACAAGAGATAATTAGAGAGTGAGCTTTCTGCCACTGAGTTAATGTCAAAACTCCCACAGATTTCAGAGACAAGGCTGTGCATACATTGGAGAAAAATCCTTGAAGTCAGATGAGTTATTAAAACATTAAACACCAGATCCCGTTTATGCAAGTCATTAAAATTCAACTTGTCAATCTCGCATGTCTTTCACTTCTCCAGTATCTCCTGCAAAGCTTAAGCAGACCACCTCCAAAAAAGCAAATGGTTTTAAGTAATGTAAAACGCTAATAAAAGCTTTGACAGCATTTGTACTTCTGTAGATGTCTATTTTTGGAACACGAAAGTAACCTAAAGATTTAGATCCCAAGGAGCACTTCAAAAGCTCAAGCTTCAACAATATCTATGTGAAGTAAATGCAACTAAGAGCCTGATTCAGTCAAGCATTTCGATGTATCATTAAAATCAGGCTTACGCTGAAGTCCTTTCCTTTTTCAACAAAAATACACAGGACTATGTTTTAAGTGCTTTGTTGAACTGAGGCCCAAGTTCTAATTTCCTTTATTTATCTTAGATACAAAATGGCTAACGGAGGGGGTCAAATGCTGCAATAGCTAAGTGATGGGTTTAAGGACACTGGAACTGCTGCTCTGAATTGCCATGGGAAGAAAATGAAAGAGAAGTAGTTTAACGGTGGAAGTAATGGGAGCAATTCAGATAGTTTAAGATAAAGTTTAAACAACAGCCTCAAAGTCTTGTAGCTTACCTGTCCTATCTTTTCCCTGCCTGCTACAATCTTCCATCCTTCCAGCTTTTCTTTTTTTCAAAGTAAAATCGTGAGAGAATGTAGGCACAAATAACAACATTAAACAATAAGCAGAGAGAGCAGATGAGAGCCACTTCAAGCAGGCTGCAGGGAGCAGCCCCACATTGTCAGGGGATGCACCAAATGATCTAATAAGGTTTTCATTTGGTCTCTAATTTCTGCAAATCCAGTTTCCTTTGCTGTCAGAATACTTGCAAATGCACCAATTCTGAACAACTATGTCTAGTAACTAAGGAAACTGAATTCATTTTCAGGGAGCAATGGAGAATGAAGCAGGCGAGGTACTGGAACAGGTTGCCCAGAGAAGTTGTAGATGCCCTGGAAGTGTTCAAGGCCAGGTTGGATGAGGCTTTGGGCAACCCGGTATAGTGGAGGGTCTCCCTGCCCATGGCAGGGGGGTTGGAACTAGATGATCTTTGAGGTCCCTTCCAACTCTAACCATTCTGTGATTCTATGATTCTATATCTGCCTGCCTGAAGGCTTCTTTTCCCCTTCAGTGAAGTTCACCAGCACCAAGATTCCACCTATAGATATGGAAGACACCATAAACAAGCAGTAAAGGAAGGCTTCTCAGCAACTCTGTTTGTTGCCTCAAATATAAATAAGCTTTTCATGTCATAGCAATCCAAAACTTGGAATTTTTAATTATATAGTTCCTTAACATGTCTTGGAATAGTACTGTCCTCTGTCCTTTTACTAAGTTGTGACAATACAAGAGAAGGAAGTCAGGTCATTACACACTCAGATAATGCTTTAATAAAGCTGTTTTGCAGAAGGTCACAGATGTGCACTTTTGTATCGCAGAGGAGAATTAATTAACAAACTAGAAGTTCATACTTTGGCCATCCCCAGATGTAAACACAGACTTAGGAACGGGAGGATTTGCGTTCCCTATTCCCTGCTCTAGCCTGCCCCCAGACTGCCAATAAACTTATGACCAGCACTATCTGAGCTGTGTTCCTAGCAACTCCAGAACAGAACTGGACTGTAAGGATGGATTTTTTGATTACCAGCTTTCGAGAAGTCCTCTTCTTCAAAGCTGTGTATGGTCTACAACAACTGTGTCATAGGGGACGACAAAAATGCAGGCAGTTTTCATATAGAGATAGACTAGAGAGACAGGGTAGGTGTGCAGGTGAAGATGTAGAAAAAATAACAGCTGCAAATGGAAGCAAAGGAAAAAAAATAACCAAGTAAAATACAGAAGCAGTACTTTTCACTCTAAGCATTTGTATGCTTGCACACACACACATATATGTAAAAAAGAATGCATGCACATTTAACTCCTAGCTGCCTTTCACAGATTTACTGACCTGACTCTCTCTGCAAATAAAAAAAACCACACAAAAAGCAGGCAGTAGGACAGCTTAAGCTATACTGAAGTTGATCTGAAGACTAAAATTCAAATGCTGCAAATAAATGAAGTGTGGATGCACCTACTTTAACAGAGCTGCACAAAATAGTGTAGAATGCCTTTCCATGGCCTAATTTGCCCATCAACACAAAAGGAGTTTGTTTCATTAACTCCTGTTAACTCTTAGTGGAATTTCAATGAGTTTTGTGCCTATTTCAACTATTTCTTCCTTGTGTTCTCAATGCTTATTCAGGGTGTAGGCTGAAGGACAGGGAATGCAAGAGATACATTTTAACCTCTTCAACCTAAATCCTACTTTTTGGCTTACTGCCTCTTTCCTAAATAGTAAAACAAACGACTCATTTCTTTAAGACCTTCTTACTAAAAATAGTTGGTTGGACTGCTTAATTGTGTTAGCTGAAACACAAACATACGACAAGGAAAGGGTTTTGTAAGAAAAACACTGAAGAGAAAAAAAAAAAAATCAGATTTCATCTGGCCTTCCCATCATCACTTAAGAGAATTGTTTTGTAGTTACATCATCAGGAAATAAAATACTATCCTCTGAGGACCCCGACTCTTTACAGAAGAGAGAAAAAAAAAAAAAGAAGGCTCGAAGTTCATATCACCCTCTGAGGAGTTCAGCTAAACTCACTTTTTTTGTCATATTAAAAAAAAAAAAAAAGTAAGAAAAAAGAAAAAGCTCCCTCAGAACAACTAATTAAAGAAGATGACCTTGAATTTAATTTTTCCCTTCTCAAATTCTAGGCTGGGAGACTAAGTGGAAAACATTGCAACTAATCAGCTAACAACTGGTAACGACTTTATTTATTATCAATAATGGAAAGGAACTGCCCTAACCCAAACCTTCCGCACATTCTTCTTGGCCATGAACTAGCAGACAAATGCAATGTTTCGCACAGTCCCGAGCGTCAGCTGGAGCCAGAACACATTCACAAGCTTTCTAAGTTCTGGCTATCGCTGAAGCACACCAGTCAGACACGAGCCTGCCCAACACGGAGTGCCTTATATGGGAAGGCAATGACGTAATGCTCCATAGGCTTGGGGCGTGCGAAGAGCCTATCTCTCATTGTTTGGTGGGACTGCTGGAATGCTCGCGTCTCTGATGCTACAGCTCAACGCCTCGCACCATGGAGCAATAGCTGACCCGGGATTGCTATAGTCCAGGAGCGCAAGGTAAGGGAGAGGGTGGGAAGAAAACTTCTGCTGGCAAGCACTGGCGCTTCTTGCTTTTTCCTTTCGAGAGACTTTTTTTTAAAAAAGTTGCTACCAAAAGAAGGGGTGAGGACTGAAAAACAATGAAATACCCCAAAACAGCACCAGGAGACCTAGAAGATGTCTGATTACTTGGAAGTAGGCTATTTCAAGCGTTAAAAATTGTATTTTAAACCATTCCTACAGAGCCGACAGACGAGGAGTTAATTTAATGTTAAAGAAGGAGGTAGTTATGAATTACACACACGTTCCAAATGCTTGGATAAAATCATGACTGTATTTAAAGCTGTGGAAAGTGTCCAACTGTATTGTAATATATTAGGCAAAGCTACTGCCTCCCTTCCTGCTGCATTTATATGCGTACGATATATATTAGCAGACATGTATGTACATATGTCTCTAAGCATTTACCATACTTTTGAACAACGTTCCATGTAGTTAACAGAGGGATGTATAAATTGCCACAAACATTACTCCGCAATAAGACTGTGCAATGTCTGAAAGAAACAATTGTAACTAGTTTAATTACTAGCAAACTTTTCAACTCCTACACACTGCTTCCCTCTTCTGTGTCTTGCGTGCAAGTGTCAAATCGCAAGAGGACAGAACTGTCAGATTTTGATGAAAAAAACTTTAAATCCTGGTCATCAAACAAATTATGAGGCTTTCAAAAATCAGAAAACCCACTGGTCTCTTCAAGGCTTGTTCTTCAAGATGCTGAACAGTATTGCAGCTATTAACTCCAAAAAACAGAGAATGAAAAGTAGTTCTGACAAGGTACCAAGCACCTTGAAAGATTAGACCTTAGTGTGTTTATAACTCACAACCTCAGAGCATACAGAACTACACTGTCTCTCCCTTGATTAAGGACTAAACCCTATCAAATTCTTGTTTATAGGAACAACTGTGATTAAGTCAATTGTACTGTTCTACTTGCAAATTCAGACTACTAAGCATTGCTCTCCAGAGCCTATTGTATAATTTAAAATGTTAGAAACATTAGACTCCTTAAGACCTTTAAACTCAAACTCTTCTTAAAAGTAAAACGTTTTTTGTTGTATGCTCTCATTTTTCTCAATACAGAATTAAATCAGCATGAAATACTATGATGGCAGAAAGGGTTTTTTCCCTTCATTTGATGGTTTAAATCCTGCAAAACCCCTGTTCAAAGTATATATTTAAGAAAAATGAAAGCTGATCCAATCCTATGTATTGCTGTACTATCAAGCATACAGGGATTTAGAGACAGCCAAAATATCATGTGTGAACATTTCATCCCTTTTTTTTTTTTCTTTAAACAACAAGAAAATAATACATAGTTATTTTCCACATGCTTCTAGAAATGCAAGTACAGAGATCTATTTCATTTAAAAGATAATTCAGGTATTTGTGTATTATTAACCCTGGCATTTAGACACAGGTCACATCCATGTTTCCAAGACAATCTTTCTTGTAACGAGCAGAGTTTACACCTCTGATGATGTCTTAAGTCTGTCTGTCTGTATAATCAGGGAAGAGGGCACTGTATAGTATATATAGAACGAAAAGAATCCTAGCAACCAGAACAAACGTTAGTGTAGAAAACCAATACCCCGGATCAGTATCCTAAGCCCCTTACAATGTCTTCTGCTTGCTATTCTGTCATATCCACAGACTTGCAACCTATGTCCTAGCATTTTTAGATCTCTTTCCTGATAAATAATTACTTGGTTTCCTACATATCCTATAGCCAGCAGATTTAATAATAAATACATTGTCAAGTTAAAAAGTGGAAAAGTTAGCTATGTTATGAAAAGATATGCTACCAAAGTTAAGTAACAACCTCAAAAAATGTATCTGAGGAGGAAGGACAAGCTGAAGGAGGGTAATGTTTATCCTTAATTACTGCTTTAGCAGTATCCAAAGTACCTTCTGTACTGTGAACGCTCCTAGCCTAATAGGAATCATCACATCTATCAAAAGCCAGAGAATTCTATTTCCCATAGTCCGTCTTCCTGAGATCGAAAGGGAAAACATTATTCACTTAATACTTACAGGACCAATTTTGCTCTCATTTATACCTGTAAAAGCCCAAAATAATTAGACTGAGGCATAACAATTAAAACATCTCACTGTTGTTTCCCACACACCTCCAGCGTTACACATTGTTCTATCAGATTTCTTATTTTGTATTGAGACCATCTAGTTTTAAGCAATTAAAACATTAGCTTGCATCACTTAACAGTAAGGAGACAGTAAAGGAAAAAAATAATCACACAAGTCAGTCGTCTACAATCAAATTTTTTCACTTAGATTTCTTTTTATAGTAACTTTTTACAACATCCAATGTCAAGAGAAAGCATTTTAAGAACAAGTATATCCTCCAGAAATTAAAGTCAACTTCTTGTCAAAACTGCATTGACCCTTTATTCCTTCCCTGTCACTTCCCTTCCCTCCTCTGACAAACACTGCATAACTGCTGACAGGAGAATTTTTAGAGATTTGACCCTTTTGGGTTTTGGGACCAAGGGATAAGACTTATTTTATTTTCTCCATCAGTCGTAGTAAAATCAAGTTATTGTTGATTTTTGCTGAGTAACAGCACTTTCATATTATTTACCTAATGAATTACCACATTGTTACCCGTCATGGGATAAAAAAACAGCTCGGTTTTACTCCCAGCAAGTTTCCCCTCTGTGGCAGTTCTTAAAAGGCTGGCATTTTTTTTCAGGAAAAATCCTTTACCAGGTGTAGTTTGGCATAGGCAAGCGAGCAGCCACTGCTCCTCTGGATCTCTCCTATAAACAGCTTCTCTCAAATCCTGGGTGTGGTGTTACCTAAATACTGTTCATTAAAGAAGCAATTAAAATATCTAAGTCAGAGAATGCTAAGGAGCTTACAATATAGGAAGACATATCTTCAAAAACTATCCAATCAAATTTTAGTCCTGGCTCATTAATAGCTCCCTTTAATATTTTAGCCTGTCATCAAGTGGATTTGAGCTTAGAAATTATGCCTTACAAATAAAAATAAATTATTTTTAATCGCTTAGGTTTGTTTTTCTCATATTGAATGGATTCTGCCATGGCATCCTTGGGGTTTATGTTGAGCCTTTTCAAAGTGGTTGAATGCTTGGTTAGTTCAACCATTCACTAAACTGTACTACTCAGCTACAAGAAGGTAAGAGGTACTGCTGAAAAATTCTAAATATAGCGAGCAGCCTTGTGATTTAAATGAAGTAATGGACATTTTGAGCCTTAACACCTCTCAGTATATTATGCTGATTTTGAGGTTTGCCGTGTTCTCTGTCAGCGAGACAAAAATCACTTTGATTGCATGTCCAGGGTACCGTGTTGTTTCTGGAAGGACAGTAACAGCACTCATGCCGATGGCCCAGTGGAGCACACTCAGGCATTCACAACTCACTTTCCTTAAGTGTTCACAAATTCAAGGAAAACATATTTGGAGATTTTCTGTGGCAGTCTGTAGCCTCCAGTTAAAAACGGTTCAAAACCAACACCTCCCAAAGCCCTGCCTCCTCACCAGAACAACAGAACTGAGGTGACAGTGAAGAGGTGAATGTTCATGCAACAAACAAATGCTAGCTGAGCAAACACCCAGCAGCATCATTGTATAACCCTCCTTTAATAACCACATGGAAAACTTGGGGGTGAAAGTTCAAACCAACTTTGCTAGACAACATTTCAACACAACTCAAAGTCCTATAGCCTTGGTCATTCAGGTTGATAATCGCACATACTTTTTGCCTGTTGCAGAAGTCATCCTTTCTGCTACACTCATCGTGCGTATCATGATGATGTAACACAACTGCTTGACTTCAGCCTCACGCTGGGCAGGGGACCTATGGACACCCACCAGAGAGTGGCTGCTGAGGTAAATAAGGAGAACTTTAGCTGTTTTGCTTCACACTGCATGCTCATGGAAGCTGAGCAACTAGAGCCCACAACCACCTAACTGCTCGTGCTCAAGCTTCAACAAACCTTTGCAGACATACTGCAAAGGGTAGGGTGCATAAAGCTCCAGTGAACATGACAGAAGTTGTGGATGGAAAAAAAAGCAGTACTTCTGACAAGAAAAACATTAATCTTGCATACGTTTCAGGGATGTGAAACCACACATTAACCAGATTTCACTGTCCTTTCTAGGCTTCCAAAGGCCTGGAATTGCACTTAAAAGAAATGATAGGTTAGAGTTCTTAAAGATCTGCCTTGAACTTAATATTCAAAGCAATTTATTTCAAATTCACTGCAGAGAGTGGATTTAAAGCTTTGACCTTTTTTTATTTGCAACAGAAAGCTTATCTAGTGCTTGCATAGCAGCTACTGCAATGGCATAAGAGAAAGAAGAAAAATTTTAAAAATTTAAATGAAGCAGCATGTTGCTACTACCATTAGAAAACCCACACAAGATTGGCTGATTAAAAATGTACTCATAAAACTCATTTTAATCACATACTGGATTTCAGCACATGGACAAAACTGCCTTAGAGAAAGTATAAGCTGACTGAATTCTGTCAACTTTTTGTGGAGTTAATCAATATTCGGGTAAAATTTGCGTAACTTTCAGTCATTAAGTCAAAATATTAAGAAAATTAGGAAATTTTATCACCATTAAGCTTGGCTTTCCTGGAATTAATGCAACTCCTCAAGTACAGCTCCAGTATAGGTCAACTTGAGGTAGATAAAGCAGACTGCCTATAAGGGTGGCGTGCAGAATGTTTAGGCTTGTGCTAGGAGGTGCACACACTGATTCCCTCTCAGGAAAGCAGCAGACAACAGCTGACAAGAACCTTTAAGCTCACGTATTTTGCTAACCCCTATAGAGAAGGAGGGAAGAAAATCTAACGTGGTGTACAAAGGAGCAGCCACTTTGGAAAGTGCCTGCTTGCCTTTGCTTAAAGCTTGAGATGATTACTGCCATCTTTGTAAATAGCAAAATTCTCTTATTTCAATCAGGATCAGGTGGGGGAAATCAGAATTTGACAAGGTAACATTTTATAATCTGTAAATTACCCTCTCATATATCTAGGCTAATGCAGTTAACCAAACAACTAGCAAGTTCTGTCTCGGGATAATTGTGCCTTTTTTATTTTCAGCATTTGAAACTATATTAGAAATTCATGATAAAAGCTAAAATGTATTACATCAGAAACATACTGTACATGAAAGTATGCTACAGCTCCTTCATTTTCACAGTGACATCTGAAAACAGGAAAATATAACCTAAACATCACAGACCATCAGCCAAGAGGCAAGAAAAGAGATCAAATAAGGCATGTAGCCAAACGCCCTTCAGTCATATCACGATACTGAGTTATAAATCAAATCAGGGTACAATAACGAGGCAGAGACTGTTCAACTGAATAAACAGTTGTTCAAAGAACAAAGAATTCTTGAAGTTAAAGTCTTCATATGAAGGGGCAAGAGAAGCATACATGCACATGACCTTTCTCTTTCTTAAAAAAAACTTTTTTCTATGAAAGTTTTTGAAAGGTAGAGAAAGAAAACTGGAAAACAACCAAAGATGGAAAAAAGTAATTATCTCTCTTGGCTTTAGGAAGACTGTTCAGATCAATTTCTTAAAAGTTTAAGAAAGCATTGGTCATAGAATAGGTAGAACTATTTAAAACCACTTTTTCTATTCTAACAATTTAGGGTTTTTTTCCTAAGAAATAGGGAAACATTTATTTTCCAAAGCAAGAAAGTTACTCCAGCTGCTGAACACACATGCAAGTAGCTACAAAAAAAAAAAAAACCCAAAAAACAAAACAAACCACCAAACAAAAAGCTGATTCTAGATACAAACTGTTATTGGCACTTTGAGTGGACATATGACTAAAGGACCCGATTTTCTTTTATGCTTAAGCAGGGTATTTGATCTTTAATGCAGTGAGCTACCAAGGCTGCAGAAGAATGAAAATCATACTTCCAACACATCGTAATCAACGAGTAAGAGATGTTCTTTCGTTAAACAATTCATCGCAGGTGAAAAGGCTATTTAAATCATTATTTGTTATTTAAACATGTGAATGAAATCTATGAAGTAAACCTTGGTTAGAACTACAACCATTAAAAAAGTTCTCAAACTATCATCTTTAGCTCTCCACTGCAGCTTCCTCTCCTGTAGTCTAAAACTATGTGTTAGTTCTCTCTGAAGAGGATCGGTTTGGAGAAATCTTGCAAACTTAAATCCTGAACATGAGCACCTGTGCTAAGGATTAACACACTTTAAACAAACATGCATTGACTTTACACCTTTAGAGATTCCCCAAGTGCCCTCAGGCCAAGGTGGCCCAGCTCCTACTGAGACAAGATACAATGCAACTTCGAAACATCCCACACTTCAAGTCTCAACACATTGAGATACAGGAGACACATAGCAAGACTTTTAGCAGGTTTAGGACAAACAGCAAGAAAGTGAATTATCTCCCAGGTAGCAAAGTCCCCAGAACTACAGAGCTTCAATACCTAGAACTGTACCCAGAAGTAATTTGTAATCCATTGGAAACAGTTCTAATACAATTCCTGAAAGTCACATCCTGCAAAACAGGAAACCAGCAGTATTCTTCATCACTTGTAGCTTCAAAGCCATCTTTAGCTAGGTAACCATGCTGCTACAAATTGCTGCAACTTCTCTTTCATCTGTGTCCTCCAAGATGAAGTGCTAGCCAAGTCCATCTTAGAGAAAATGGACATCCTCACATTATCAGGTCTACAGGAAAAAGATGCATACTTAGCTCAAAGTGAAATCTCTGTTTGACATCAGTGTTATTACTGCTCTTGCTACTTCCATTCTTGGCTACCAAAAAAAGTTGCAACTCTATCAGCAATCTGATTAAAGTCTGTTGCCTATTTGGAAATCCTGAACTATCCTGCTTCATGCAACCTTGCATCAAGGTAAATTTAAATATCTTGAGCTAAATTTGGAGTAACAATTAAGGTTCATGTTTTCTGCCAAAAAAAAAGGAATGAAGTGCCACCCCAGACCTGACACTCAGTTTATTGTACAGATACACCGAGCTACTTCAGGAAGTAAGCACACCAGAAGAAGTGCTTATTTTTGTCTTGGGATGTATGCATAGAATAAAGATTTTATGGGTATGAACAGGACCCTCAAGAAGTCATGGAATTTTATCCTCCTGCACAGGAGTGATATCACTTACATCATTCCTGAAGAACGTTTGTGTAATTGTTTTTAACTAGCCCCATTCCTCAGAACGAACGCAAATGCACAGTCTTCCCAGACAGTCCCGTTCAGTACTAAAGTACCTTTATTTAACTTACAATGTTTAATCTATGTGGTTCTAATCACAATTTCAGCACATAAATTCTTGTCGTGTGCACTGAGCATGTGGAGAACATACTAAAGCTTGCAGCCAGCTTCCACCTGCCTAAGGCCACAGCATGACTGAGCAGCTTATCCAGGACTGGCAGCAACAAGGAGAGATGCCTTCAGTTCAACAGAGGAAGTGCACGCAGCAGTATGGAAAGTTCTAAATTTTACCACTGCTGATGACTGATAACACACAAATAAGGCCACGGTTAGCATAGGAGATAGGCACAGTGCCTACTCTGCCCATGGACGAAAATGAGGCCCCAGACATCTATTTCTATATAAAATGTGTGTTAAAATTGTTTTAGAGAACATTCAGTTCCTGTAAATGTTATGGGAAAATGACATTTACGACTAACCAGTCTCCTCGGAGTAACATGATGCGTTATTGTTGGCTGAGTGCCATTTTCTGTCATACCAAAAATATTAACTAATTGAAGTTTAAAAAAGTTTGTATGAATTATATCCTTGCACAATTATGCCCAGTTCTGGTCAAGGCAGCAGCACTAGCATGGCCCCAAGTGAATCAGATACTAGAAAAGCACCTATTTTCCCAACTGCCTCCTAGAAAAAATCATTCATAAAACAGAGGTCTGCCTTAAACCTACACACTGTGAAGTTTATTATAGAGTAAAAATAAGCCACAATCAAATTATAGACAGGATTTATCTATTGAAATTGCTTAACGAAAACTCGGATTGTTCTCTTAATCTAAAACAAGTATTATCATTAAACTGAAAAGCATAAAAAGATTACTTGAGGGTTACAAACTTATACTGAGCAGAAGCAATTGACTCATTCAGGGAATCAGAACTTCTGAAAACGCCTCAATCACTTGGAACAACACAGACTAAATAGCCAAGAGAAAAACTCAGGCCTCCAACTAGTATACTTTCATCAACAGCAAACACAGCACGGCAGTGATAAGTAAGTAGTATCTGCCTCATACAAACTAAGCACACATGGCTGGGGTAATCAGTGCTAGCAGCAGCCTGACCAGAAATTTCCAGAACTTAGTCAAGCTGCACTCCCCTGTTTGTGCCTAATCTTCCCACAGGGAATGAGAGGAAGGCAGGTAGGGCTCTAAAAGGCAGTTTTCAGGAGCTCTATCAACTCTTGCTTCAATTTTTCACTTGCTAAATCCTAGCAGTAGGCTGCAAGGGTAACGATTACTGGTACTGACCCTCTGGACGGACACTGCAAACACATCCACCTGCCCATGGAAAGCGAGGGGCGAGGGGAGGGGGCGGGGAGAAGGTGCACGGAATAAATGGAAAAACACTGTCCTGTTTACCTCTGTAGTGCTGAGTGTTTTATAATACTGGTGATTTTAAAAACAGCTCAATAACTGTGGTCAAGTAATAATGTTCTAGCAGTAATGCTTAAAGTATATATTTATAACAAAACTCAGGTTCATAAAGACACAGGATCTCTCCCATCAATGTAACTTGTTACCATGCAACATCAAATATCAAATCATCAAATGTAATCATTTCAACGACACTGTCATTTAAAAATCACAAATTACAAAAAGCAGTAGTTGTCTTGGCTTATTTTGCGTAGTTACCATACTGTTTAAACCTCTTTGGGTTAATACTAATTCTCAAAATAATGTGTTACAGTAAGTCAACACTGTTTTTTCATTTTAATAAATCTGAAGTTCAGGCACAAAATTGTACTTGTTAAAAAGAAAGAAAAGACAAAAGCAGGACCTGGATTAGTAACTGAGAAGTTCTGCCTCAGTCTTGTTGCTTTGACCCCTATACCACATCTCCTGTGGTTCATCTTTCCATTTCCTTCTGAAAGCTTTCCATCTGCAAAACTATAATTTCCTGGCTGACGTAAATTTGAAGAGTTCCAAATTCTGGTGTTGCATCTGAAATTACTTGCTGTATTTCCGACTTTACAGGCAGTGGAGGCAGGGTGAGAGAGACAGAGAGAGGGAATGAATATGCACTACGGTAGTATGAAAAAATCCCAAACTACTAAGCAACAAACCCCAAGCTGTGTTCCGTGAGCCAGTTCAGTTGTCGATGCATTTAGATCCAGAACAGAAGAGGATTAACAGTCACACTATGTGCACAATTACACGCCACTGAAACGTCAACAGTAATAGACACTGACTTCAAAGAATAACTGAAATAGCTGTTAAATCTAGAAAGAGGGAAGAAGAAAGAAAAGTGCATCTCAAAAACAGCGACACATCCGAGTCCAGCTCACAATTCATTGGGCCATGTTTTCTGGTAGCTGAACAAAGGGACTCAGAGTTTTCAAGGTTAACTTCGAGCAAAGCTCATTAATATTGTGGTCTAGTCAGGTCAGCGCTCCTTTACAATTGTTTCTCAGGATATGAAGTCAAGGGAAAAAAAACAAAAACAAAACCAAAGAAAAAAACCCAAACAACAAAAACCTGACGACAATTTAACAGGATAGCAACTTCTTCACTCCCACCTAAAAGTCCTGCCCCTTCCTATCAATCTCAGATGCTGAAGATGGCTAACATTACAAGATTAGAAGTGAACAGACAGAATTAATAATTATCACCTTCCACATTCAAACAGTAACTGCCACAGAAAGCATTAATACTTTTTTCACAAGACTGGAGTTTTGATAAATTATTTCCAAGAATATCTAGGTATGGAAAGAATATAATCCAAGACAGAAAAATATTTTCTTAAACTGAGGTTTCATGATAAAACAAAACTGAATTTTAGTGCTCAATTAAAATTAGTACAACTAGAAGTGAATGTTAATCCAATCTTAAATCTTAAATTAACCAACACAAATTTGTTAAAAATTTCTCATGTCATCTACTGTCACCAAATTTACATAGAATTTCATAACATTTATGGGCATCAATATCCCTGTATCACCAGGAAAAATTTTCATCAGCTTAGTAGTTGTGAAATCATGGTCACAAACAATATTACTGTTCTAGACTAATTAATTTTTAAAATAATATATTATCTACGTATGTTTACTCAGCATTGCAGCTAAATACATCTGGTCCATTTGAAATTTTGCCCAAGCTAACCCAGAGCTGGCAACACCGTTCATCATATATGACTTTTATTAAGACTTGTAAAGCAAGTCAGCATTTTAAGCATCAGATAAAACAATGATTACTCTGTGGTAGTTTGTGGAGTAATAAGCAGAACTTACTCCCCTCTCATTAAAAGTTCTCTTTTTATAAAATAAGTTTCCTTATCAGGAAATTTGCCTTACACACAGTCTTCTTGCAGTTAAGACACTCTTTGTGGAGGTTTGCATCGTAGTACAAACTCATGATTTAAAAGATACTTACGTAAATACTATACTGGAAAACAGATTTTAAAATCAGTGTTCGCACTCTGTTGGGAAGCGCTGACTGATTCAGATAAAGCCAACAGATTACACAACAGCTATGGTATGTTGTCATTGCTCTAATTTCAAAGGCCTTTAACTTTCTTTATGGCAGGGGAAAAAAAGAAGCATCAATAAAGACAATCAAGTAAAAGTAGCTGTAACATACGTCTTCACAAAAACTACACATCAGTAAGAAGAATTGTAGGCAAAGGGAAAAAAAAACACACTACATGTGTCACCAACCCAAGACCAGAGACTCGATTTAACAAACCCAAATTTTGTTGCCATAAAGTGCGAAAGGCAAAGACAGACTTCAGACTTCTCTCTCTTCTCAAAATAAATACTGAATTGCATTGGTGTCAAAAATTACAACAAGTTGTAAGATTTATCAGAAATGATGAAGCATGTTTCTTCTCTTGTTAAAGGCCAGACCATGGCTTATTGCTAACTGGGAAGAGTGCCTCAGATGAAGAGGCATGACTTCATCCACATTTAAAAGCTATCAGCTTAGTGTTTTTATTTGCGTTGTACAGGAAGAAATTCAAGTGCACGTCCAAAAACTTCAGAAGCAAGTCTCCCTCATGTTATAAGCTGTAGAATCTCTAGGAAGCCAGGTCTTTTACCTGGGGAAGGGTGAAGGGCACGTGAGCTACACAAAAATACGTATCTTTATGATAAAAAAAAAAAAAAAAAAGAAGAAGAAATTACGGACATTCAAAATCTCAGTCATTTCTGCAGAATGGTCTGATAAAAATCAAGATACCATAAGGTGTATATTAAAATCTCCTCAATACTTTGGTGGAAAGAATGACGGAAGTACAGCTTTACAAACTAACACCTGTTTCACTTGCATTCTTAAAGAATGCAGCCTTTTCTAAAGTTATCATTACAAGATTGCTTAAAGAAAAAAACCCCATCATTTTTATTCTTATTATTCTAAGAATAATGATTCATTGTAGAAGAAATTAGAAAAAAAAAAGGGTCTTGTAATCTCAGTCTCTTATGCTTTCTTTAGTCTCCCTGAAACTCAAAAGGAAAAGCAGCCCCCTGAGAATCCTGTAAAAACATAAATTAAACAACATCCATGTAATACAGGTCCTCCCATGAGAACGGAAAACCTCACTTAAAAACAAAATTATACCACATGACAGTAAGAAGGCAATTAGACAATTAGCTGTTTTGGGAGTCCCCAGGTCTTGTAGAGAACACATAGTCATTATGTTGCTAAATACAACGTAGTGTACCAAAGCTATATGCACTTGAAAAAAGCCTGGAAAACAAGACAACACAACTGAATGCATGGTGTTAACACCAAGCAGCTGTAGTATGCCTACTGAGGAGAGCCATCGCCATGAACAGAGGAGAGCTGACAAATACAATTTCTTTAAGGAAATAGAAAAGCAGGCAACTGGTATTGCAAACAAGTAAAACAGTAAGCCACAATCAAGCAGTCGTTTATAACAGAAGCTCTGAAGAAAAAGTACTAAGACACTGCCCTGACTCTGTTTAACTACCTAACATTTATGATCATAAAAACAATTTCCAATGCCTGTTTTTGCTGGCCTGTATTCAGAAAGAACTCCTGTAGTTCTATGAAGTCAACTGGTTGGAATTATCTGTGAAAGCTTTGTCTAAATTATATACTTACCTTTGCCTAATATGAAATAACATTATCATGAAATTCAACTCACAATGAAAATGATAAAAATATTTTATTGGATAGCAAAGTGCCTGTTTTTTCTTTTAATTATCATTTTTTAAGCCAACTTTTTTTGACCTTCACATATTTTTGGTAAAATTGCTCTCCTCAAATACTCTGGATATTCTTCTTCAGGAAAAGAGTGTTTTGGATTAAGTTAGCACAAAGTATTTTTATTCTGTCACAAAAGTATCCAAAATATCACAAAGTGCTATTATCAGTCACAGCACTTTTTCAATTAAACATGTGATTTGCCTTCATTCAAATGGTATACATAACCAAGCCCTAACCTGCAGAAGTTAGGTTCCCCAAAAAAGCTGACCACAAACAAGCAATGAATTTAAAATAAAACAAACAAACAAAACCCAAACCAATCAACTAAGCAAAAAGCACAAATCAAAAAACCCAAACGTTTTAGGGTCCTCTTTCATTCCTCAGTGCATGTGTGCAGACACAGTTGCTGTGACCTACTGAACCATAAAATGGGAATTCAGCAGCCAAGGAAAAATACTTCTGCAAATATTAATGGACTCCCAGTTGACTTCTTACAATACCAATCTCAACTCTGCTCAAGAAGTCATTACCTATTCAGCACTGCTGAGGGCATTTTCTGTAGAGGAATACACGAATATTTCTGTAGAGAAATACATGAAGAAGCACACAGTTATCAAAAGTAAGTGCAAATTTAACTACACAATATCAACAAAAATATACCATGCTTACTACATCTCTTTTTTCTTTTTAGAAACACATTAAGACCCTTTAACTCACAGCTTCTGCTCTATTCTCTGTCACTTAACTTCAATGGAGTGATTTTACAGAAGTATTTTTTTCAAAAAGAAATATATCTCAGCGGTTAGAAATATTTTGTTGTATTTCTGTTTGAATTTTAAAACAGCATTTTAACTTTTGAATGAAGGAAACGTTTTCAAATACCCTGAAGTCTTCTGGCATGACCAAAGAATCATAGAATGGTTTGGGTTGGAAGGGACCTCAAAGATCATCTAGTTCCAACCCTCCTGCCATGGGCAGGGAAACCCTCCACTACACCAGGTTGCCCAAAGCCTCATCCAACCTGGCCTTGAACACTTCCAGGGATGGGGCATCCACAACTTCTCTGGGCAACCTGTTCCACTGCCTCACCACCCTCAATGTAAAAAATTTCTTCCTTATATCTAATCTAAATCCGCCCTCTTTCAATTTAAAGCCATTGCCCCTTGTCCTATCACTACACGCCCTTGTAAAAAGAAACAGAATCTCTTGAAAATCCTTCTCAAGTTTATACAATGATCCAGGTCAGATACCAGTAATTTAGGCATTTTTGTTCAAAAAACCCTTGCAACACAGACTTGATCAGAGATTAGGTTAGACTACCTCACTCAAGCACTCAGTTTGGGCTGGAACCTCAGTTCTTTGCTGAAGCAAGTCTTAAGCATTCCAGATAGCTTGAGAAATGAAGTTATAGAAGGAAACAAAAAAAGAGAGGAGAAGATAGAAAAAAATGCGAATTTCACACAGACTGATGCTCACCAGAATGACTGCTGGGATTATTCACTCAAATGTTTGACAACTGATTTTGTTTATTATTAATGCATAATTATCTTATTTGCCTCATAAAAAATTACATAGCACCCCTATGAAAATTACAATTGTTGGTTACTATGTGGTCTAAGAGTTTACTTTCTGAAGCAATTTAAGGGGCATCAGTCACTGGAGCATTTCAGTTTAATTTGGCCAGAGAGATATCAACTAGGTAATATAGCAGCACTGGGTAAAACACTGATTAATTTAGGTATTAATCACCTTCAGCCAAATTTGCCTTACAAAAATAAAATATAGTGAAGTAAGCTAAAATAAATCAAATGCTAATAAGCCCAAGTCTATTTTAACAGTATTAATATAAGATGTCTTAACTTCATGCACAGACAAAAACTGAGTTCATTCCAAATGAGATTTTTAGTTATGCTTCTGTTATGGTTTTATATCTATGGCAACGGTAAATCATCAATTGAACTTCACTACTAAAGCATTTAGAGAAAAGGGCGGGGAGGGAAGAGAGATTTTTACACTAAAAAGAACTCAAACTGAAAGTAGCTCTGAGAAGTGGACGAAAGTTTATACACCAACACAGTAAAATGCTTTGAAGATGATGCTGTCTTCTCCCCATTTGTTTGTTCTGTCAACCAGCAGCACTCAAGGTCACTTCACAAGCCTCTCCCTCTCCACTTCAACGTTTCCACGTCCGTTTTCCCCATTATGTTAACTGACTGTTGTAAAGAATTTGGGGCTGCTTTAAGTCTTTGATATGAACCTTGTTTATTGCTACTTCCCATTCCATCAATTTTTCATAGAAAGCATTTCATTACATTCAATATAGTGCAACTTAGGCATTAAAATAAAAACAGTGGGATGGTGAAGGTGGTGTAAAAAAATGTCTTAGTCATAGACTTCTATGCAATATTATCACTAAATCAGACAAACCTGATGGACAGCTGTAGAAAGGCAAGTACTTCCCCTCTCCGTGCAGGAAAACTGCAATGCTGCCAAAGGGCATGTTGCTGAGGCAGACTATCAAATGCCCAGGAATACATGCCTGCAGTCAGTCAACAGCTAATAAAGACCTGTGCAAAGGAGCTCGTTACCTAAGCTCTTCCTGAACTAAAAGATGGGTGCAACAGGAACTTGTCAGTAGGGAGCTGTAAAGACTCACTACTCGGACAAGGGCATCACAATACTGACCAGACAAAAACGTGGAAGAGGAATCTTATGTTTCAGCAGCAACTTCTAGACAGTCATTGTCATATTTCAGAGGGTTCAAAAACTAAAAGAAGCAAGAGGCCTCAGCTAAGGAGTGCTGAAGCAGTCATTTTATGCAAGTACAGTCCTGACATGCAATTTATTTCCCTCGCATAATCTACACAACTGGATACATACCCTACATATGAACAACAGTGAAACATACAAATTGTAATACTTTATCACTTCAATCTAGGCTTTTCAAACTTTTCTTTAGTATCAGAATAGTTATAGGTTGTCTATGGGAAAAATCTAATTGAAAGGAGCAAATGTGCTGGCCCAACCTAATCATACCTCAGACCAACTCCACAAATATCTCCCTGACAAAAAAAGTCTATAAAAGAACCTAATTATTTAAGGTATTTGGAGCTTTCTTAGGATCCTACATAAACAAATGCACAACCTTACCCCACGTCTCTAACAAATTAAGTATGTTGCATCTCAGTAAAGACTGAGTATTAATATAAACTTGTAAAACTAATTTTGGTAAACCATTATAAAAACCTTCAAGAATCATGTAAAAGCAGGGTTGCGCTTTGGTATATCTGCAAGTTTTGGATATAAGACAAGCCTAACAGACAACGAGATGTTTGGGCTTGCTTAAGTTCAAAAGGCACAGCCTGAATACCTGTTTATCTGCAGACTGCATTTTTTGTGCGTGTGTACGATACAAGGTCACAAGGGCTTTTTTCACTGAGGATCGATTTCCCTGCAATGTTCAGTTTTGCTCTGATGTGCTGCCTAGAAATTGACGTTAGGCGGCCTGACTAACTGCCTAGTGTGGCTGCGTTTCCCTCACATACTTTAACATCCATAAGGTTTAATTATAAAACGTCGTAAAACATCAGGACGGTTTATAAGTAACTCAAAGGTATTAGGAGGTTTATGATGCTGTAAATTATCCTTGCCCTTGAGGGCTGTACTGATTTAACTTCTGAAGCACTATGATAACCACATTTAAAAAAAAAACCTGCATGAGCACAACTAGCCTCAGCACACAGCCAAGACCAGCGTTGTTCCAGTGCAGAACGGCAAAAAGTTGTGCTGCACTGATACCTGCCAAAAGCTGAAAAAGTAACCAAAGATGCATAATTACTGAAGTTGTTAAGTTTAAACGATCATATTCAAGTGTCCATTACAAAAGAACTTCTGAGTAGAAAGTAAGGCCTGTCGGCCCCATGACACTACAAGGGAGGGCTGCTTGTAGTTGTAAGTACAAGTGGATGTTCACGCACTTCTGGCAGAGATGTCGTGACATCTCAGGTGTGCTTTTAAACGTCTATTAAAATGGCTACAAAATACAATGTTATCTCCTCCCACAGATTGAAAAAGCTTCTTGAACAAGAAACAGCATATCAGGCAAAAAAAGAGAAGGAAAGCAAC